TATATATATATGTGTGTGTGTGTGTGTGTGTGGTTAGCTTGTGAATACAACATAATAAAAAAAATCTTGAAAGAATATTAAATTATGCTGATGTATGAATAAGGTTTGTTATTATTTGTTGTATATGCATATGAAGTTGTGTGTGTATGTGAATGCATGAGTGTGTATGTGTGTGTGTGTAAATAATTTTATTTATAGAATTTGAGGCCTATGAGGAATGGAACTTGGGCTAATATGATGAACATTTTGTATGCTGAATGTTTTGAGATACTACTGTGTGTATTTTAGTTCTGGTATATAATCCAGCTTGGTTAATTTAGCTGTTATTTCAGCACTTCCATTTGTTTTTTGTAGTTCATAAATTGAAAAAGTGAAGTACTATCATGAATATCCTTGACCACTTTAAAAAGTATTGCTTGTCTATCAAAAGTTTTCTTTTTATGTATGCAGTAGCTTCATGTAACAAAATTGAGTGCATGTAATTCAGAATTTTGTTATAAAAATTTTCTGAGGAATTTAAAATTTTGCCTGAAATGGAAAGAACTGATTAGTTCGGAAACTGCTTTCAGAATGCATATAGAGTTGAGTAATCTTGTAAGCGGGTATGTGACAAAATCTCTAATAGAGTTTGCACAGCTTCTTCAAAATCATAGAAAATGAGCTCTAAAAATTTCAGTATTAGAAATTTTGAAAATGGCTGTTTTCAAGACACTGTCCTGAAAAGACCTGAAATTTCTGTTTCAATATAAAAATACAATATGAAACAAACAAAACAAAAAAGGCTAGTTTGTAAACCATTTTTTTGTTTATGGTTATTTTACACCAGGTAATGAGTTTGTAAGAGAAATAATATAAAGAAAAAAAAATGTTTGTTGTGCAACCAATTTAATGTTTACTCTTGTTCTTCAGGTGCAAGTATGAGGAATTTAATCGTTTTCCATGGTTTAGAGAGGAAAATCGTTTTTATTCTCGCGAGGGAATAGATATGTCTTCTCGACTTCCTCCACCCTCTCTTCCTACAGGCATGTTTTTCAGTACGAAAACAATAGAATACGGCCATCAGCGTGCAGCTACTGTGGTAGGAGAAGACTTTGCAGAGAAATTTGGATCCATCAGAGGTTGATCACCTTCTGAATATCAGTTTTGTGTAACATATATTTGTGTGTTTGTTTCATTAGTAGGGGAAGCTGTAGCAATAATTGTACCTTAGATTTACCTGGGTTCGAGTATATCAATACGTTTTTAGCTAGTTATAGCAGATGTGCACATATCATACGTGTTTTAGGTGACATAATTTTGATATGATGTATAATAACAGAATTAATACAGCACCTAGTTTTGAGACCTGTAATATACATTCTATACACTTGAGAGATTTTTATTGCAATTCACAAATGGTAAATTTAGGAACTATATGATTAAATAATGTTTTCTTTGAGATTTAGCAATTTAGGTAATAAATTTAGTGACAGATTTCTCTGATTAACTGTATCACAACTGTTGTGAATCTTTCAGATATTGTGCATATCAAATTTCAACATATTTTGCTGAAACATATATTAGAAGTGGTATTTTAGTATTATATGATGTATATTTAGTGTATTTCACAAAGAAAAATTGATAAAAAATAAAGAATAGTTTCAACTTTTGTGCAGCTCCAAGGAATCTCGACAGTGAACAATACATTTATAGATTATTTTTTAAGAGTTTTCTGCTCATCTTGTAATATTTATTTATGATTCCTAAGAAACTATAATCCATCATTAATGATGTCTTACTTTTCAAGTCATTTTCCTTCTGTTTTATTAGAATTTAATATAGCCCTTGGTTGCCATCCTTTTATGATGTCACATTATATGGTCTGTAAAATTACTGAGGAAGCTCATCCTTGAAAATGGGTAAAGCCAATAGATAAAAGGGATTAGAAAGAAGATATTTTTATTTACCCACGGTAATATTGAGTAGGTAAAGTGGTTGTAATAGTAAGTTTTGGTCTGTTGACATGTTAGCTACTTGGAAGAAAGGCTACTTACTGATGTGAAGTTTACAATACTAAAGAACAAATCATAGATCTGAGAATTTTTATTTTGAAGTTTTTTTTTTGTGATAAAGTTTTTTTGTTAAATTATCTGTTTGATAGCTGTGGGAATATTCTTTCATGAAAAGACATCAAGTAAGTTTAGTGAGTGTGGTAAGTGATGGCAGATTATTCAATTGACATAAAACCTTTCTTTTTTTTAATTGAATACATTGTTATGTTTTTCATATTCTAACAATACTCACAAGAAGAATAACTTAATGTTTATTGAAAACAAACTATAGCTATTAGATATTAATTTATCTTGACTAAGAGTATTGTTGGCAAAAACATGATACAATGCCCAATAAAGGTAATGGTGACATCATTTTGAAAGATGGGGGTCATTGTTCACAAATGAATCATTGTCAGTTTTTGTCATATTCTGTCTGATTTATAGCCAGAATTATTGGCAAAATAAGGTATAAAAATTTTTAATGAATATCAAACAAGTTGAAACTGATTGGATATATATAATGAAGCTTTCTGATGAATGATGGAAAATTGAAATTCTGAGATGAACTACTTTTAATGTTCTTTTCAACATAGTGTCTCATGACAAAATTCTGGAAGTTTACAGCTTAATCAAATTATGTTAATTTTTTAAACCAGAAACTAGATAATATTTAGAAAACATTAAGTTTCATGCAATTTAATTAAATATTTCCACCGTGGGAAGGAAAAATTTAGGGGGTATCAGTGTCACCCCTCTTATCTGGAAAGGATGAACTTGTTGTTAAGCAGATACAAATAATAAGTTGGTCTCTACCGTGTAGTTAATATCTTTAAATTATGTGAATGTACATCAACATTTTTAATGCATACTTCACTTTATTTGTGTATATTAAAAGTTGTATTAAAAGTATGGTTGATTTAATTGGCCATGAAACTGATGCTTTACTAACTAAGCATGTAGTTTAGCTTACTGTGTGCATTTCTACCTGAACAGCTTCCTCCATTGGTCAGTCTTCAGTCTTTGGAAAAGTGGAGTCCTTTGACTATGGTCACCAACATACACCAACTCCAGTTAAATCTGAACCAACAAGTTCAAGTGAACATATTTTAGGTCAGTGTTTTAAAATTTCTGTTACATTTTTTATAAATGCAATTTATTATTTACTTTTATACAGGGCTTATAGAGATACTTGAAAGTACTTGATATTGAGTTTTTTTCAGTTAAGGCCTTAAAAACCTTAAAGATATATGTTCTACTGCTGAAGTTTTGGAAAAATCCTGGAAAATTGTGTTCACTCTTGCCCTGAATTGGAGCAAGAGTGGAGTCCTTTGTGCAGCCCGGGGGTTTCAGAGTTGATCTTTCATCATGAACCTGAATATACAGGGAAAAATTTAAACACACTGTTTCCTGCTCCATCTTTCACTAGGTTGTCTCTACTGAGGGCTCATCTGAACAGCCATCTTCTGCTCCTTTTCTGCAGTTAGTTACATGAATTTGTGAAGTTTTGGGGATTAACCCTGTTGTCAGATAGATCTCGGGGGGATTACTTTGTTCTTCCTTCTTTCCCTGATATTACTGCGCATGCAGGGAGGTTTGCAACACAATTACGAGAGGGTATCGTTATGTCTTGCCCCCCTCATTTATCAGAACAACATGCCCTGGCTTTTCATTGTCAAGGTGAAGTATATTTGGACACTCAGTGGTTGGATCTACGGGGTTCCAGGCTAGAACCTGTTATCGCTCTTAACAGATCTCAATTTTTGCAGATTCATTTGACTCTTACTACTGTATTGTGATACTTCTCTTCCCGTAACCTTTTCTTTGAAGCATATCAATGCTCTCCTCATCAATTTGATATCGAACTGGGACCCTTACTGATTACCACTATGGCTCATTTGTCCTCTTCAGGCTTTGCCTTGGTGTCATGGTTGATCTGTTGCTGGGACTTTTTGAGTCAAGATGCCTTGTTGGAGGGTATTTGTTTGCCGTCCTGCTCTTCGTGATTTATGGGAAGTGCTCTTTCTTCGGCCTTACTTTTTTGCCGACTCCCGGAAACTTTTGAAGCCTGAAATGATATGGCACATTTGCAGACTTCTTTATTGTTGTTGGCTGCTCGCCACTCTTCTACTCCAACAGGTAATTCTGGAGGATCGACCATTCATATTTTATGGCCCCCACCTTCGACACCTCGTCCTATTGGCTCACAGAATCAGTTCCGTCCATATTCTCAAGGATCTTTGGACGGGTTGGGATGGCACCAGTGGCGTCAGTGACTACCCATCTTTACCAGGTCTTGTGGGAGGATGTACATCTCTTTCACCCCATTTGGTGTTCATTTATCATTGATCCTTGGGTTCTCAGAGTGCTGGTTTGGGGTTCGAGATTCGGTTAACTTCTTCCCTTCTGTCGTCCTCCCATCCGGTTGTCTTTTTCTCCTCCTTCAGACATCAGATGTGCAGACCTTTGTTCCCAGGCCATTCAGGAGTTGTTCAACAAATGAGCCATCGAGAAGGTCGATCCCACTCATCCAGGATTCTATTCTCATCTAATTCTGGTGCCCAAGAAAACTGGAGATTGGCATCCTATCATTTATCTGTCTCGACTCAATCCCTTCCTACAGCCTCCTTTTTTTACCATGGCAGCTTCGATGGCACTTCACACCACGTCTTTGGATGATCAAGTTCAGTGTTACAGACGCCTGCCTTCACATCCTCATAGCAGAATGTTCTCATTGATTTCAACGTTTTGTGCACGAGAACCAGGTGTTGCAGTTCCGAGCTCTCCTGTTTAGACTTGCTTCAACACCATATGTTTTCTGCCGAGTAGTATGGGTCTTTGCATGGCATCTCCATTTTCTGAGTCTGTGCCCACATCACTATATGGATGATTGGCTTCTTTTGGCACCAATCCGTCATGTTGCCAAACTACGTACCCAGATTCTTCTTTCCAAAACCAGAAAGGTGGGCTTCATTATCAGATTTTAAAAATCCATTCTCTCACCAACTCAATATCTGGTCCATCTCGGGATGTTTTTCAACACATTTGGATCGGGCTCGACCATCTTCCCTGAGACTTCACCATATTGAAGGGATTGTCAGGCATTTTCTTATGTCACCTTCTCCCACTGCATAGATGGTTCTGTCTGTTTTAGGGATTTGGGCTTTCCTAGCATCCCTCGTGCCATTGGGTCAGGCCCTTATCAGATCCCTTCAGTGGTCACTTCATGACTAGTGGCTCATATGTATTGATCCTTTGGTTCAAACAGTCTCTTTTCTCAAGAACAATTATGCAGTTCTCAACTGGTAGCTGACAGGATTATCAGGATCCAGATACCACCTCCTCGTCTGGAAATCCATATCTTCATGGATGGGGTGCTTTACTTAAGGCGCAGGAATTCCAGGGTATTTGTACAGACTACAAATCTACCCTGCATATCAACATTCTCAAACTTCTTGTGGTACATCGAGTGATGATTCGAGGTCTTCCTCATTTTTTTACAGAAAAATTGTCATGATCCATTCGGACAACACTGCGGTGGTATCATATCTTTCTCGTCAGGGAGGTACTCATTCTCAAGATCTTTTGGGCTTTGGATCTTCTTTATTGGGCTCATTCCCATGACATCC